ATTTTGTAAATTTAAATAAATTTTTTTCTGATAATAAAAGAAACTTTAATTTGAAACATAAAAAAATACTTTTAATATTAGAAAATAATTTATTCAGATTTATAAAATGATTTACTTGTATTTTATTTACTTTTAAAACAAGCGAATATTTATATTTAAACAGTTTTTACATTTAAAAACACTAATTTTCTCCTTGTAAAGAAATCATTTGTTTATTCTTATATATATAGATATTTTAAATCAAAGAAATCACTTTTTTTATTTATAAATTCATAATTTTACAGCTTATTTTACAAATTTAAAAAAATATTTCTTTATATTTATTATATATTTTTTAAAATTTAACAAATATTTTTTTAAGTTAATAATTAATGTAATAAATTATATGTAACAAAATATATTTCTTTCATTTAAAGAATTTTTTTTTAATGTACATTACCAATTTGAATTTCGATTTTCTTATTTCTTTATTAACTTAATAATTATAAATAATTATATTTATTTTATTCATGTGCAATATTTATAGAAATATTTACAAAATATTAATTTCTTGTTTACAATAAATATATAAAATATTTAGGTATTTAGATATTTCTATATTTTAATAATATTTTGAATATAGATTTTTATAATTTTTTCTCTCTTTATATATATGTATATATGTATATATATATATATAATATTTGAAAAATATAATTCAAAATAAATATTTATAAATATTTATCTAATAACTTACTAATATTGCTGTCTGGGCTAATACTTTTAATCTTAACAGTACTTTGTGTAAATATTTCATCACTTAGCAAAGTATTATATATTAGTATTTAAATATTGACAATGTTCTGCGTAAGTATTTTATCACTGGACGAAGTATTACGTATCAATATTTAAATATTGAAATCAATCATAAGGTAGGATTTGTAACATTAAATATTGAAATGCTTGAGTACTAAAAGCTGTATTTGAATCACAGAATATTACTAAATACTGTACTTTTAATATTGAAAATAAGTAATTAATCAATGATTCTTAGTATGATATTTCTATAAGGGAAGATCGCCCTGCACGCTCAACTGTTGCCCGCAAATAGCTGAGTGCCCATGAACAGTGCCCACTTGCCGATTCTTGATTTAGATAACATGGAATGAAGGAACTATGTTGCATTATAAATGATTAAAAAATGTAAAAAATATTAACGCACTTGAGTTTGGCTAGTCAGTCACTTTTTTCCAATTTTTATTAAAAATTGCATAAGTTTGAAAATTCTTTCCCTACAATAACCCAGTGAGAAATGACTCGTCGTTTCGATGTCGATCAACGAGTAATTTCTCACTGGGAAGGTACTATCCAAGACTTCAATAAAAACTTTAGATGAAGATATTATATTTGCAGATTTGAGTATGCAACATTTTTTGAAATGTTATGAGAAAATTTTTATTATGCCCAGATCAATACGTATTATTGATCACAAGCTTTTTTTCAAGATTGCCATCAATTACCTGTTGATCGAAATGCATATTTTCTTCGATATCGTTGTTTGCCGCTTCATTGTCAATTTCGAAACGTTCTTCATTGTCACTCGAATCGTTATCAACTCTGTCGTCATCATCAACATTTACTTCGCTTGAATTCTCTTGTACATTCTATAAAAAACAATTCATGTTTTAATTGTGAAACTTAATTTATTATAACATTGATATTAATATTTGAGAAAGGGAGGAAGAAAGAGAGAGAGAGAGAGAGAGAGAGAGAGAGAGAGAGAATTAATGAGTGAAGTGAAATTTAAAATTGTTATTAACGAATGTTTTGGATGAGTCATACTTAGCACATTGCTAAATACATTAATATATGATTATCGTATTCATAATATGTTCATATTGCACATACACTCTATATATCGTACCTCTGGATTCATAATATAATCCGCTAATCCTGGATTGTCCTTGTTGTCAGCAATATCATTGTCACTTCCACCATCTATGCTGGCATTGCGAATGTCACGTTCCACTACATTTTTCTCCATATTCTGTACATAGATATGTATATAATTTTTTATTAAAATCATTTTTTACATATATATATATATATATATATATATATATATATATATATA